CCTGGCCCATTTTGATGAGACATTACCGGTGGTTTTGGCATGCGATGCCTCGCCTTACGGGGTCGGGGCTGTGTTGGCTCACCGTTTGGCCGACGGCAGGGAGGTCCCGGTCGCTTATTACTCTCGAACCCTTTCTGCGGCGGAGCGGAACTACGCCCAGATCGACCGGGAGGGTCTCGCAATTGTGGCCGGGGTCAAGAAGTTCCACGACTACATATACGGCAGGCCGTTCACCATTGTCACAGACCATCGCCCGCTCCTCGGCCTCTTCGCGCCCGACCGCCGGACGCCGCAGGTTCTCTCGCCGCGAGTCCTAAGGTGGACTATTTTCCTCGCTGGCTACAATTATCTGCTCCTGCACCGCCCCGGGAAAGCCATGGGCCACGCGGACGCTCTTAGCCGCCTCCCACTACCTGAGGTGGTTGAGGACCCGGCCCCAGCCTTCCGGGTCCTTCAGCTGGAGGGCCTGCCGGAGGCCCCGTTGCAAGCGCGGGACATTGCCCGCCGCTCGGCTCGGGACCCCGTGGTATCCCGGGTTCTGGGCTGGGTGGTGAGGGGGTGGCCTGAGAAGACAGACCCTGAGTTCGCGGCGTATGCTACCCGGCGGGACGAACTTTCTGCACACAAGGGATGCCTGCTATGGGGAGACAGGGTCGTGGTCCCACACGCATTACGCCAGAGGGTCCTCCAGGCACTGCATGAAGCTCACCCGGGCATCGTCCGGATGAAAGGGCTGGCAAGAAGCTACGTCTGGTGGCCCGGCATCGACGCAGAGGTGGAAGCATGGGTCAAGCGTTGTCAGCCCTGCCAGGCGGTGAGACCCAGCCCACCGGGGGCACCAGCGCAGGCGTGGGAATCCACCCGTACCCCGTGGTCCCGGCTCCATATAGACTTCGCAGGGCCATTCCCGGGCCGGCTATTCCTGGTCACGGTGGATTCCTACTCAAAGTGGCTGGAAATAAGCCCCGTGGCTGCAACGTCCGCAAAAGCCACCATCCGCGCCCTACGAGGACTCTTTGCCACACACGGGCTGCCGGACACCATCGTGTCGGACAACGGGACGGCTTTTACGTCCGAGGAATTCCAGCAGTTCCTCAGCAGCAACTTGATCCGACATGTCCGGTCAGCGCCGTTCCACCCCGCAACCAACGGCCAAGCGGAGCGAATGGTCCGGACCGCAAAGGAGGCCTTGAGCCGGATGGTGGAAGGGGAATGGGAATGCCGCATCGCCAGATTCCTCCTGACCCAGCACACGACTCCCAACCCTGTCAGCGGAAGGTGCCCAGCAGAACTACTGATGGGTCGAAAGCCAACGATCCTTTTGGACCGCCTGCACCCCGACCGGGCCCCCGACCAAAGAAACGCAGTCGAGCAGAGGGAAGCACCAAGGGGGTTCTTCCCAGAGGACCCGGTTCTCGCCAGAAACTTCGGCCGCGGTCCGGAGTGGATTGCGGGCCGCATACTCCGGCCCCTGGGTACCGTGATGTACGAGGTATCCATGGAGTGCGGGCAGATATGGAGAAGGCACATCGACCAGCTCAGACAGCGAGTGCTACCGGAGTCCCAGACAGAGGAAGAGACGAGACAGCAGACGGAACCTAGAGAGACCACACCCGAGGCGACTGCACAGGACTTGCCAGCCGAGGAGCACCCGGCACAGGGCCCCACGGCCCCAGCTTCGGTCGAGGAAAACCCCGTTCCGGAGGCAGCGGAAGCAGGAGCACCAGCTCCCTCGTCAGAACCCGGCCCTGAGGTCGGAATTCCGGAAGCACGAGGGGCCACCCCTCGACGGTCAGCTAGAGTACGACGGTCCCCATCGTACTTAAAGGACTACGTGACTTAGGGGAGGGCCCGGACTATGGGGGGAGGGATGTTGTGTCCGCTGACCGCCACCGGAGGTCAGCGCACACTCCTGAGCTTCAGTCCGGCACAACAATGGGACTAGGATTCTAGTCCCTCCACTGGGGGGAACCAATGGGACCTTGGCGGGAGATTCAAACCCACCAATGGGACCAGGGGAAGCCCCTGGACTGTGTATATAGTTGGCCTGCCGGCCGTTAGTCTTTAGTCTTGTTGTGTACCAGTAAAGCCATGCTGATCACTACATCAGTTTCCGTGCTTTCTTTACGCGTCTAACCCACTACACATCAGTAGCTTACTCAGTTCTCCCTATTTATAAAGATATGTAATGTAACATAATATAAATAACAAGAGACAAAGCTGAGATATCCTCTCAGCCACCCAACCCCACCCTATCCCCCACTTGAAACCAATAAATCTTTCACCTAACAGTGTATAAATAGAGTGAAGAAGAAAAAAAATGAAATGAAACAGCAGAAGGGGATTTCAGAAAACAATAAATTATCTAGGAGTCCGAGCCCTAACTAGACACAGCAAATGAATGGTAACAGCAGCAGCAACTTTAATCCGTTAAGGGGAAGAAACTCCTTCACACTATGTGTATAGCTGCTAGGAGTACATAAGATAAAACTGTGGAGAGAGCATTTGCTTCTCACTTATAAAACAGAACAAAAATAAAAGCTTTTCCTTCCACCCATTACCAGGGGGGAAGACTTTAAAACATGATAAAAAGTAAACTATCCTATATATGTAATTGCCCTGTTGCACTTTCTGACTCTTCCATTGGCTGTGCTGTGTGCTCCATCACAGCACTCAAGAGTACTTGCATGCCTTTGGCTGGGTGCTGGGCCCATTCCTCTCGTTCACCCACTGCCAGTCTGGACATTATTCCCTGACAGAATAAACAGCCAAAATGGCTCTCTCCTGACAAAGACACTTATTCTTCTGCTTGTCTCCTCTGCGGCAGACTGGCTACTGAGGTGGGCCATCGGCTGTCAAACCATTCTCTTCTCCTGCTCTGTGGGGCTTACTTTTCCCTCAGTGGCTGCTGCTAGGCAACCGAGCTTGGTTCTGCCAGTAAAAAGGCAAAGGCAGGAGGCCCTTTCCAGCCTCCTTTGGCATTTGTGGGGAACTCATTGAGGCCAGTCTTTTTTAAAAACAACTTTTATTTTTATAAAAGACAAAACAAAAAACAACAACAAACATACACACAGAGAAGGGGGAGTTCCATTTACAACCTTATTTTGTCTGTTAAGTTACTTCATACATGAACAAGTTATTTTCTTTTTATTTTTTCACCTTGTATTTTGAACTAAATCTTTGTTCATAACTAAAAATAAAGTTATAGTTCATATTTCCTTGTGCTTTGGTTGTATGTCCATATGTTTTATTTGTTGTGTTCTTCCATCCATTTATAAAATCTTGACCATGTATTCTCAAAGTCTCTTTCATTTTGTCCTCTCAAAATTAAAGTTGGTGTGTCCATCTCTGCCATTTCAAATATTTTATTAATAATTTCTTCTTTTGGGGGTACCTCATTTTTCCTCCAGTATTTGGCATGTAATATTCTTGCAGCTGTCACTACGTGTATAATAAGATAGGAATCTTGCTTTTTATAATTTTCTGGTAATCATTGTGGCCAGTCCTGACTAGGGTTGCCAGCTCCAGGTTGGGACATTCCTGGAGATTTTATGGTGGAGTCAATGGAAGCCAGCATTTGGGGAGAGGAAAGACCTCAGCTAGAGTTCACCCTCCAAAGTAGTTATTTTCTCCAGGGGGAGAGAGAGATCTGTTGTCTGGAGTTCAGTTGTGATACCCGGCAATCTTCAGGCTCCACCTGGAGATTGGCTACCCTAGGTGTAGCAGTTAGCATTTCAGAGCAGGGTCCGCCAGACCCACGTTCTTGCTGTGGAAGTTGAGTGGGTGATTTTGGACTAGTTACAGACTTTCAGCCTAACTTACCTCACAGGGTTCTTGTGCAGATCAAAAGGGGGAGAGGAAAATGATGTAAGCTGCTTTGGTCTCCACTGAGGAGAAAGACTGTACTTTTCCTCCTAGGGAACCATTGCTTCCAATCTCCAGGTGAGGGATGGAGATCACTCAGAATTAAAACTGCTCTCCAGATTATAAAGATCAGTTCCCCTGGAGAAAACGGCTGCTTTGCAGGGTGGACTCGGTGTCATTATACCCTGTTGAGGTTGATTCCCACTGTGGATAAAGACTGTACTATTCCTAGGTAGAGGCTGCAGGTGGGGGGGAGATGGAAAGATGAAAAGTGAGAGGAAAATAAAGGTAGGTTGATGGTTGGCTGGGAAGGAGATACAGTATCCACCTCCGGGTTGGCCAATTTGTGGAGATTTGAGGGGTGGAGCCTGGAGAGGGTGGGGTTTGAGGAGGGGGTGAGACCTCAGACAGGTACAATGCCATAAACTTCACCCTCCAAACCAGCTGTTTCCCCCTGTTGAACCATCGTTGCCAATTTCCAGGGGAGGGCTGGAGATCACTCAGAATTACAACTGCTCTTCAGATGGTAGAGATCAGTTCCTCTGAAGAAAACAGTAAGCTCTGTGTCATTATACCCTGCTGAGGTCACCACAGCAAATTGACACTGAGTACCCAATGCCAGGGCACCCACCCTAGAACCTGTTTCTAGAGCTCGTTGTATTTATTTCCACAACGAGCCTTATTCCTAGTTTAAGATAAACATAAAATCAATTAAAATCAGCTAAAACAATACTTCTCTAAGATGAAGCACAGCCTAGAAATGCCTAATCACACTCAGCCAGAAACTGGAAGTCGCTTTGGGTAAAGTTTTGGTTTGAAGAAATCAAATTATGAAATTAAAATGCTTTCACATCTAACTTCTGTTTAAGGAAGAACCATCAATGAACCAGGGCTATGCCATATAGACTCATGCCTTGTTCAGCAAGTAAAGGCATGCTGCATTGGGTATGATCGTATGATATATAATTTAGTTTAAAATATCAGCCTAGGTGGATCCACTCTGATGTGTTATATGTAATTCCTTCATCACTGATATAAAATTTTACATTAAAACTATACAACAGTAGGAGAAATTTGGGCTAGGAAACAGAAAATGGAACGAAAATAGACTTACGGATTCAATTTGCACAAGACAGAAGTAAAAACAGAACAACAGTTTTCAAGCTGAAATGGGGCTGCAAAATCTGGCAGCAATCTGAGACGTATGTGTCAACTGGAAAATATCCAGGGCTTAATGACAAGTTATTGTATATTGGTAGCAATGCAGTTTGGAGTGAAATATACACCTTTTTTTAGAGCTAGCATCGGAAGATTCTGGCCTGAAAAATAGTCCTCCATTCAAGGTGGTGGACCTTCACATGTACCTCTGTAAAGACAGTGCCTTCCTGATCAGTTTTCTTCATTTAACTGTTCTTCTTCAGGTCCCTTTTTCTCCAGAAACTATATTCTTAAATATATGGCCTACTACACTGAAATCCAGACCACACAAAGCCACAATTGAAATCATGTTCCATAGGCGTAATCTTCGTGGGGGCGGCGGGGCTTTAGCCCCCGCCGAAATTTTCAGTAAGGTGCTCAGCCTCCCCCGGGGGCCACCCTTGCTCCTAGCACAGCAATGCCTCTGGCCCAGCCCCAGCCCCCCCCCCCGAGAAATTGGAAAGTCTACACCCTTGTGTTGGACGCTGCGAGAACAGCGATCGCATCCCACTGGAAGGATCATAAAGCCCCAAGTTTAGAGGTGTGGTATAAAAAACTATGGAATCACTACTTGATGGATGCAGTAACAAACAAACTGAATAGCTTAACACAACATCCTATGAAAGATGTGTTTACAGATAAATGGTTCCCGGTACTAGACTATTTGTCGCAGCAACAATTCCTCTCCTCCGAGTGGTCCCAATATCATAAATGGATTTGAAGTTAGGTTCAGTTTTTGTTTTGTTTTTTGCTTTTTTGCTTTTCTTCTTTTCTCGCTAAGATCTTCTCTAGTCTGTTAAAGGCAATAGTGAATTAAAGAGTCAAAGCCAATCAAAAGTTCATATGTTGCACACAAGAAGTGTTACAGTGAGTTACAGCATTATGTTGTATTGTTCTAAGTAGCTTATTTGGTGAATTACATATATGAAAACAAACAAAAGCTGTATGTTCATATGAAACACAAAACTTATGTTCATTGTTGTCAATTTTGTGTTTTAATCTTGCTATGGTTGTATTTAAGAATATATTGAAAATAATAAAAAAATATTTTTAAAAAATTAACTGTTCTTAATTATCCATATTGGCATCACAATTTGCCTAGTGCCAATCATACTAACATACATTTAATGTACTGTATATATATATATATGTTGTATTTTGTACTATACCCTGTCTATTTGCTTATGACATGGGTCTATGAGCAATAAAAATGAATGAATTGACTGACATACATTTGTTGCTTTCTATTGCTTCAGAAGAAGAGTGCAAGAGTTCAGTAGTATTTTAAAGACTAACAAATTTTGTTGCAGAATATGAGCTTTCCTGAGTCACTGCTCACTTCTTCAGATAAGTGAGCAGTGACTCACAGAATCGTCTTTAAATGCTAATGGACTCTTGCTCTTTTCTACTGGTAAAGGTAAAGGTTTCCCTTGCTTGAAAGCCAGTTGAATCTGACTCTAGGGGGTAGTGCTCATCTCTGTTTCCAAGCCAAAGAGCCAGCGCTGTCCAAAGATGTTTCTATGGTCATGTGGCCAGGATGACTAAACGCCGAGGCACATAGAACACTGTTACCTTCCCACCAGTGTTCCCTCTAAGCTGAGTTCGTGTGAGCTAGCTCACAGTTTTTTAGCCTCTGACTCACACATTTTTGTCTTTGCTCAGGAAGGATGGCTCTAGAACAAACGAATTTATGCAGCAGTCAAATAGCTTGCTGACAACTTTAATGCCAATAGCCCACAA